TGAGTGACAACTGTGTCCTATGGTCAGGTGTGATCATTCATTTTCTAGTTGAATGCAAAGAAACCCCCTGGCGGCATTCCCCATTAGCTTACTTCTTTGTTTCAATTACTGCCAGGGAGGCTTTAGCTGGAGCAACCTTTACAAAAGGGAGGAAGGCAAGTGCCTACTGCATGATCAGGGCTTCTGCATGCTGCACAGAGCCCACACCATCCCAAGCACTCTCTTCAGGTAGAATAACCAGGCCCATTTAACAGATGAAGAGACTGAGGCTCCCAGAGGTAGACACTTGCTGAAGGTCACACAGCAGGCTGGTGGCAGAGCCTGGATTTGAACCTGAGTTGGTCTGGAAGACTTATATTCAAGTAATGGCTCTGCCAGCTATGAGCTTGGAGACCCGTGTGCTGCTCCAAACCTCACTTCCTTCCCTAAAATAAACGAAAGAAATCACACTACCATACAGGGAGGCTGTAAGGCTCGAGATAGTCTGCTTTCAGAAGCCAGGCACTACAGTGCAGCAGAATCCAAAATCTCCCCCTCTCCCCAACCCTGTCTGCTGCCAACCCACCCCAGGGGCTGTACTAGCTGACAAGTTTCTAGTTGCCATCAGCTATGTGGCAGATGTCCCCAGTTTGGCAGAACAGCATTTCCTTGGCACAGACTGTCCCAGGGCACAGCTGGGACAGAGGTTCTGGCTATGTCAGTGTCCAAATCTGATTTAAAATGGGGAGGCCGATTGCCAGCATTCCAGATCGTCCCTAGTAAATGTGAGTAAACAGAGCTGTTGTTAAAGCAGTTGGAGTGAGTCCACTCATTCAATAAATATTTCATGAACACCTACTTTGTGTCAGGCATCGTAGATACTGTTATCCGTGAGCACACATAATCTCTGCTCTTAGGGTTTCAATCTCAATGGAGACAGACACTAATCAAGGAACCACTCAAATTACTATATAGTTTTTAAAAGCCAGTAAATATTATGCATGCAAATTACAGGGTGCTATGAAACCCTGTAATAGGAGGTCTGTTGTAAACTGCTGTTGTATTGCCCACTCAGCTTCATGACCTTATCTTCTTAATTTCCCTTCAGGGACATACTTTTTCCTTCCATCAGCCCATGTAACTCAGGTGGGGAGGAGTTTAGGGTGGGCACATGACCCTGCCTGATGGGAACACGCCATTCCCTAACCACTCCAATGATTGGTCAAAGATATGCATGTGACCTAAGTTGGTCCAATGAGATTCAACTCTGGGACTTTTGTAGGGACAGCTGGAAGAGAGTTGTTCTCTCAGCTGGGATTTCTAAGCTGGAAGCTCAAATATCTGGAGTTTACATAGGAGACCCAGGGGAGAGCTTGCTTAAGCCTGGAACCTCACAGAGGAAAGGTGAGAGACTTGTCATTAGGCAGCTTCTGGCAATGTCATTTGAGACCCTAGATCTAGCTATACCTGAAGCCAGATACTAGCTGGGCTTTTACATTACCTGAACTAACAGTCACCCTTTTTGACTTAAGTGACTTTAAATTTGTTTTTTCACCACTTGCAAATGAGAGCTCTGCCTGATACAGGGCTAACGAGTTTTGGAAAGCTTCCCCGAGAAGTGACATTCATGCTGAGTGCTGAAGGACAAGTAAGAGTAAACTAGGCAAAGAGGCCATGTCTGAAGTCAGCAGTTTTGGGGCTTAAAAACCTTGAGAAATTTGGGAAAGGGAAGGGGCCTTCATCCTGTGTAGACAGAAAAAGAATTAATGAAGGGAGATCACCAGGGAGAAAAGGCAAGTTACAAATCACACTTCACCCTTAAAGCATTTGTTGTTTTTCATTTCAATAAACATGGAAATTTTCATTCCTATTCACTTTTGATAATACCTATATTACAATGAGCTCCCTTTGCAGACAGAAGATGCCCTTCCCTGCACCAGCCATTCCCAAGGGGGTGAGGCCTGAGCCTGCCTTCAAAAGCACCTCTGCTTCTGGCTTTGGGGTACTTTTAAAAGAAAGGAAGAAGGCAGGGGGAGGAAGAGAGGGAGGGAGGGAGGAGAAATAAGAAAGCAAGAAAGAACAATTAAAGCAAAAAGCAATAGCAGACTGTAAATGGGACCTACTTTTAAATGCAAATAACCATTTCATAATTTACTAGTTTTATGACATTGTGTAATTTTGTGTCTCAGATTTTCTTAAATTTTAAGCGTTCATCTTTTTCATTACAAAAGTAATATAACCACATTTTGGAATGTGTAGAAGAGAAACAATAACTCTTTTTAATTTCCTTGTTTCAACCCAGCCAAAGTTAGTTTTTTTTGGCATTTTTCTTCTTTTTGTTTGGCTAGTTCCATGCAATGTACACAGCAGAACTACTTTTCAAGCTTCAATATGCATATGGGTCACTTGGAGATTTGTTAAAATGCAGATTCTGACTCAGTAGGTCCGGGGTGTGGCCCAGGATTCTGCATTTCTAATAATCTTCCCAGTGGTGGCAGTGCCGGTCCCAGACCACACATTGTGTCAGGGGGAGCTGAGGTCAACTCCAGGCTGTGTGGCCTCAGGCAACCCACTCAGCACTTTTGTCCCAGTCCCTGAATTCCGGTTTCTAGGGGTCTCCTGTTGACCCCTGAACTGGATGAAGGGGACAGAGAGTCAGATGCGTAAGGCACTAATGTCTAAGCGCTGCTAAAATGTCCCTGGGAGAACCATGTGGGTTTGAAAGGATAGCTCTGAGAAGCTACTGAGGTAGGGGTGAGACCCTTGAGGAGGCTGTTCCACAGGGGGCTCCACAGAGGGTGGGCCCCACTGACCTTTTTTTTTTTTTTTTTTTGAGACAGAGTCTCGCTCTGTCGCCAGACTGGAGTGCAGTGGCGTGATTTCAGTTCACTGCAACCTCCACCTCCTGGGTTCAAGCGATTCTCCCGTCTCAGCCTCCCGAGTAGCTGGAACTACAGGCACCTGCCACCATGCCCAGCTAATTTTAGTATTTTAGTAGAGACGGGGTTTCCCATGTTGGCCAGGATGGTCTTGATCTCTTTTTTTTTATTTGAGACGGAATCTCCCTCTGTCGCCCAGTGGCCGGATCTCAGCTCACTGCAAGCTCCGCCTCCCGAGTTTACGCCTTTCTCCTGCCTCAGCCTCCCGAGTAGCTGGGACTACAGGCGCCCGCCACCTCGCCCAGCTACTTTTTTTGGTATTTTTTAGTAGAGACGGGGTTTCACCGGGTTAGCCAGGATGGTCTCGATCTCCTGACCTCGTGATCCTCCCACCTCAGCCTCCCAAAGTGCTGGGATTATAGACTAATCCCACCGTGCCCGGCAGGTCTTGATCTCTTGACCTTGTAATCCGCCCACCTCAGCCTCCCAAAGTGCTGGGATTACAAGCATGAGCCACTGCATCTGGCCGGCCCCAGCAACTTCTTTTTTTTAATTTAATTTAATTTATTTATTTATTGAAACTGAATCTTGCTCTGTCACCCAGGCTGGAGTGCAACGGCGTGATCTTGGCTCACTGCAACCTCTGCCTCCTGGGTTCAAGCGATTCTCCTGCCTCAGCCTCCTGAGTAGCTGGGACTACAGGTGCGTGCCACCACGCCCAGCTAATTTTTTGTATTTTTAGTAGAGACGGGATTTCACTGTTAACCAGGATGGTCTCGATCTCCTGACTTCGTGATCCGCCCGCCTCGGCCTCCCAAAGTACTGGGATTACAAGCATGAGCCCCCGTGCCCTGCCGGCCTTAGTAACTTCTAAGAGAGTGGTGAGGTAACTGCAGGGCTGCCTTACAGAGATGGGCGTGGGGTGCAAGATTGGCAGCTGAGTGCAATTGTTCAGGCAGTGGAGCAGAGGCTGAAGCTGCCACTCACATCTTCCTCTCTCCTTCCTTAGACAACACCACTCCTCTTCCACATGAACGCTAAACACATATTTAATTAGATTTGGCTGTGTAGGTGGGCCAGATGATTAGCTTGTCCAGGTTACCTCAGACATCAGCTTTGCCACGTGTTCACAGAACGCATTCCCAGCTGAAATCTTGGGATGTTAAGTCCTTAAGATGTCTGCTTGCAGGCAATGGGGAGATACTTTCTGCAGGAGACATTCATTAAGTCTCCACGGCCCCAGCAAGGTCTGACTCACCCTCTCTTCTGCTTACCACACACAGGCATCTGCCCTGCCCTGACTCCCACCCTCCCACCCACCGCCTCCAAACCTCCAACCCCCGCCCAAGCCTCCCACAGGAGAGAAGCCTCCTAGCCCAGCATTCAAGCTCCACGATCTGGCCCCTGCTCACACCTCTGCCTCATCTTCGGTACACCAGCCACACAGAAGCCCTCCCAGTTTCCACCTCCACGCCTTTGTGTGCGATTTCCTCTGCCTCAAATGCCCTTCCCTGCTTTGGTCACCAAAAAAACACTTCTATTCATCCCTCGAAGCCTAAAATCAGAGGCTCCCTTTCTCAGAAGGCTTCTCAGTTCCCTTCATGCAGTGCTAACCTCCTCCCTGTGCCTTCTTTGTGACTTTCACAGACCTTACAGAAGGCATGAACTCTTGGCAGCAAATGGCTTAGGGGGAAAAAAAGGAGGAGGAGGATTCACAGGCTCATGTAGTAGAAAAGTTCAGGTGTTAGACACAGGCTTCCGAGGCAGCTGAGGCAAAGGGTGAAACCATGCTGCTGGGCCCCTGCCTCTAGCTCTCTATTGATCTCGCCTTCCTCTGCTCTCAAGCAGCCCCCAGGAGCCCCTGCCTTTACCCTGCTTGCTTTAAGTTCAACAGACAGCTTCCCTCTCCCGGTAGCCACACAAGGTCCCAGAATGGATTCTTACAGATCCAGCGTGGGTCACGTGCTGGTTCTTGAACCAATCACTCGGGCCAGGGGATCAACAGCTCTGATTGGCCCAGCCTGAGTCACATGACCACCCATACGGCGCCAGAAGGTCTGGAGTGGGCAGGGGCGGATTCTGGAGGGAAATGAGGGTCCCAGAACCAGAGGCCCTGTGGGGATCCCGCAGCCAAACCCCACAAGTGCCCACCACAGACATCTCTTAGTGCTGTTTTCACAGTGTACCATGATTTGTCTCTCCTCCAGGTAGGTAGGGTACCAGCATTCTTCTAATTTATAACTCCAGAACATCATTCCAGCCCAGGGGAAGAGGAGTTACCAAAGGATCATTAAATTGTACTTTTTAGGCATTTACTTGCTATGTGACCTACATAGCAAGTAAATCAGAACAGAGTCTGACAAGGATTTTTGTGACATGTATATTAAGGTAATACTTCTTGACATCTTTAAAACCATAAATTGAGGTTTTGCTCAGTGTCCATGTTTGGACACAGGGTGAGTCCATGTGTCTCTCCTTGAATCCTCACGACAGAGGGGGAGGAGGACTTCCTCCTTGACAAGTGACAAAACTAAGCCCAGAGTCCTTAAGTAGCTTATCTGAGGTGACACTGCTGGTGAGCGGAATTGCTAGAGGTTCATCCCAGGCTGCTGCCTCAGAACCTGTGCACTCTCCACTGCCCCTGTGCAGAGAGGGTGGCATACCTGGACGTTCTGGTGGTTTGCTGAACGAGTTCTCAATTCAGTGGGGCAGGGAGGGGAGGATCTCAAAAGCACCTCTATGGTTTGTTGAAAATATTCCTCTGTCTTGGTTCAGGCTCCCTCAGAGGCAGACCCTGAGGCAGGGATGCAAGTGCAGGCATTTTCCTTGAGAGGGGAGGCAGGGTGCACTGCTAAGAGAGGGCCTAGTGACACAGGGAGGGGAAGACAGCTCACCAAGAGAGTTCAGGCGCCAGCCACCTCCATGGGCAACTGGAGCGGAATGCCATGGAGATGTGCTGAGAGCCAGGGAGGACCAGAGCTCACAGTGTTGTATCTGAGGGGAAAGGGAGCGGGCATGTTTATTCCCCACTATCTTCAGCCATTGGTCAGGGCTGCTCCCAGCGGCAGGAAGTTGCTGACCCGTCCAGCTGCAAGAAGAAGGCCTCCGGCACTGCCAGATGGATAGGGCAGTGTGGCCTGAAGAGGCTGGGGCCTCCCGCAGAGCACAGAGGCTGCCAGAAGCCTTTTCCTCCCAAGCTAGGAATCACTCTTCATAGAAAACAGGCCCAAATACTGAAATCAGGGCATCACAGACCCTTACTGCTAGCGCGTCGCAGGCACCTGGTCTGCAAAGCCTGGGGTGGCCCCTGGCAGATGTGGCTGGTTGGCCCCGTTCTTGCAGGATTGTTTCTTCTCTTTGCTTTTCCCTTCACCCTTCTTGCTGTTTTCCTCAATTTTTATGACTATTGCACAAAGATGCTCATAAAGAATATACTGGGGGCTCAAAATGCAGCATCTGTCATTCGGTAAACAACACAAGGTAATTACTTTCCATTTCTTCTAAGAAAATTATAAAATATCTCAGACACACAAAGAGGAGAAACAGTAATGCAATGAATGAATACCCATGCACCTACCCCAAGCCGAAGAACTAGGCCATTGCAAGCTGATTCCATCACTTCAGGAACCCCCAGCCCCCAAGAGAGCATGAGACACAGAGGCTGGAGCCTAAGGACTCTGCTCTGCCCCTCGAAGCTATGGGCCTTGCAGAGTTCACTGCTTTGAGCCTCAGTGTCCTTATCTATGAAATGGTAATGCTAGTACCTACCTCCAGGGGGAAAGTGAAGAAATCTGTGAACTGATAAAAAAGTTTAAGTAGCTGGTGCCTTTTCTTTAGGTCTCCCTGTGTCAGAGTCCCTCTGCAATGTGGCCTTGAAGCTATTCCCATTAAAGAGTCTGTTTCCCATCACTTGAATGCAAGCTGACTTCCTGACTTGACTCGGCCAGGGGAATGTGGCAGGGGTGACTGTGTGCCAGTTCTGAGCCCAGGCCTGACAGGAGCTTGTGTGCTTCCTCTCGCTCTCATGCCATGAGAACAAACCTGATCTAGGCTGGCTGTGGTGGCTCACACCTATAATCCCAGCAGTTTGGGAGTTCGAGACAGGCAGATCACTTGAGGCCAGGAGTTCAAGACCAGCCTGGCCAACATAGCAAAACTCCGTCTCAACTAAAAAATACAAAAATTCACCTGGGTGCAGTGGCTCACACCTGTAATCCCAGCACTTTGGGAGGCCGAGGTGGGCGGATCACGAGGTCAGGAGATTGAGACCATCCTGGCTAACACGGTGAAACCCCGTCTCTACTAAAAACACAAAAAATTAGCTGGGCGTGGTGGTGGGCGCCTGTAATCCCAGCTACTCAGGAGGCTGAGACAGGAGAATGGCGTGAACCCGGGAGGCAGAACTTGCAGTGCGCCGAGATCGCGCCACTGCACTCCAGCCTGGAGGACAGGGTAAGACTCTGTCTCAAAAAAAAAAAAGAAAAAAAGAAAAAATTCGCTGGGCCTGGTGGCACATGCTTGTAATCCCAGCTAGTTGGGAGGCTGAGACAGAGAATTGCTTAAACCCAGGAGGCAGAGGTGGCAGTGAGCTGAGATTGCATCACTGCACTCCAGCCTGGGTGACAGAGGGAGACTCTATCTCAAAAACAAACAAACAAACACCTGATCTAGCCTGTTGCAGGGCCAACATTTTCACTGAGTTTCCTGATAAACTCAAAAAGACCTCTCCATCTCTTTTCCTTTTTACATGGCTGCAATCTTTGCTGAGGAAGTTTCCACGACAATAGAGGTCTCAGCAAAAACGGGCAACAGTAAGGCTGGCCACTTCTCAGTGACTGTCAACAAACACAGATACAAGGATACTCACGTCCTTCCACCCCAGCAGGGATCCTGTGGGTGAACTCGTCAGCGCCAGGGAGCGTGTCTGTTACAGCAGCAGTATTAATGTATTTGCTTACACAGGTATCCCCATTGCTTGCGGGGAGAAAAAGATGTGCATGAACTTCGTGTCAGTGAATGCTGCCTCCTGACACATTTTTCTTGTTACATCTCTTTTCCCTGTCACAGTCATTTTTGGTCACATTTTTATCCTGTTACAGTAACATACAAATATCCTGACATTTCTTCAGAGATCTTTGGAAGTCCTATTTCCTCCTGACTGCCAAGAAAAAAAGGACAATGAGACTTTATATCTTAAGTCATCCTAAGTCACACCACCCCCGCCCATCAAGAACTACTTCAGAACAGAAACTTGTCAGTTAGCTACTGCTGTGTAACAAACACTACAAACTCAATGCTTAAAACAGTAAATGTTGCTTATAAGACTACAGATCTACAGATCAGCCGGGTGATTCCTCTGGTCTCAGCTGTGATCGCTCACGTATCTGAGGTGAGCTGAGAGTCAGGTAGGCAGCCCTGCCGATCTGTCCTGGGCTCTCTCCCTTGTTTGGGGGTCAGATGGCTGCTTCAGGCTGGTGCAGGATGTATGCCGGGACTCCTGGGTTCTCCTTCATGTGGTTCAGCACCCTCCAGCAGGCTACAGAGAGGATTTGTTCTCATGGCATGAGAGCGAGAGCAAGCATGTGAGCACTTTCAGGCCTGGGCTTAGAACTGGTGTAGAACTGCCACATTCTCCTGGCAAGTCAAGTCAGGAAGTCAGCTTGCATTCAAGTGACAGGGAAACAGACTCCCCTTAATATGGGAGGAGCTGCAAGGTCATATTGCAGAGAGATGCAGACACAGGGAGGCCATTAATACAATCAATCTTTTACAAAAGGGAAACATTCTGGAATGGTTGGCCTGTCTCATCTGCCACTACCCACAGCTAAGGCCTGTGGTCTTCAAACTGGCAAGGTTCAGTCTTGCTCTAGAGTGGAAGGGAGGAAGAAAAGAGGAAGGGACGATTGGGATGTGGGCAACCCTCTGTTCCCTCCCTGTCTACTTACACCTGAGGGGCAGGGGAGGATTTTCTGGAATACTGTGTGCTCCATGCATCCAACTTGGAGCTCCTAATACTTAATAAGTCCCCAAGATAGTCCTGTGAGTTGGCTTATTAGGGCATTACTATTATATAAACTAGCCACTAATTGTTAAATGTATTTACCCAAGTCTCTGAGCCACAAGATAAACACTCATGTTCTGGTGGTATCACTGCCTTGACAATCAGGCCCATTTAATCCAGAGCTCCTTGCAAGAACTGCACATTGAAGGGGTGCTCCTTGTGTGAATTTGGGGGACTCTATAAGACAGATTCCAAGGAGGCTGTCCTGCAGTCACACCACCCACCAGCCTGAACTTTAGAGCCTCCTCTATGCTAGCTGAGGCCTTGTGGCCTGGCTGGCCCCTCGACCACCCTCACTTCTCTCCCGTGTACTGGTCACTCATCTGCCTGCTCGAGAGAGACCACAGCCTTAAGAGTTAGATTTGGCTCAGGATCTGAGCTCCACCAGTCTGCTGAGTTGGTCTGGGACATTTAAAAAATCTTCTCTGGAACTCCACTTCCTCATCCACAAAGTGGATGTCAGAAGATCAACATTGCTCTGGAAGTTTACTCAGAGTAAAAACCAAAGTCCTCACAAAGCTCTTAAAGGCAAAATAACCTGGCCTCTGTTCCCCCTCTGAACTCATCCTCTATTCACCTCCCCTCACTCATTTCCCTCCAGCAACATGGGCCTCCCCACTCTTCCAGGCACTCTGCTGCCTCGAGGCATTCACATATGCTGTTCCTTCTGCTGCAATGCTCTTCCCTCAGACATCATGCGGCTCCCTCCCTCACCTCCTGCAGGTCTTTGCTGAAATTCACCTTCTGTCTATCTGCCAGGACTGTCTAAATGCAGCCGCCCTCCACAACACCCCCACCTTCCTTCCCTGCTTGGCTTTCTTCTTATTTCTCAACACGGTCTAACTTACTGTGCAGTTCATCAAATTCAGATGTCACCAGTAGCAAGATGAGCTATTAGTTTATGCACCATGAAGAAAGAAAAACATGCCAATTAAACGGCAGAACAAGACTAAGATACCATTGAATGTAGGACACACTCTGATTTCAGAAATGTTAAATGTCAGGGGGAAATCAGCATCATAGAATCGCTGAAGTTGGGTGTATTTTACTTATTTCTGTTGTTTATTTTCTGTTTCCCCACTAGAATGGCAGCTCCATGAGGGCACGGTCTTTACCTGGTTTGCTCACTGCTCAGTGCCTAGGACAGTTCCTTGCATGTAGGAGGTACTTTTTAAATACTGTTGAGCATTGAAAGATTTATCTCTGCCCCCACAAGAAAGTCCAAGACCTGGGACTTCCTTAATACTGTCTAAATGGGCCACGTGAATATTCGACCCAAGATGGGGCAAGAACTTTCCTGGCACCAGAGCAGTAGCCAGCACACAGTAAATGCTCAATAAATATTCATTCATTGGATTAGTGATTGAATAGTCTGAGATGCTGTCTTGGATCCAAAACTTAAGACTGACGTAGGGCTGCTAGAGCACCTGAGAGCAAAGGGTTTGCCTCTGACGGGGCTGTGCTAGGGTCATTGCTACACATGGATGGTACCCCCAGGCCTGCGGGGCACACTGCTTTTGTGGTGGAACCTGGCCACCCTGGCTTCATGCTTCCATGCCTTGGTGGCTGGACCCAGTGGGAAAGAGGATGTGGACGATGTGTCACCATGGGACAATGTGAGCATGGCAGCTCCCAGGAGCTGTCAGGGGCTGGAGAGTGGTAACTTGTCCCATCTTCACATTCACAAGGGTCCTCACACATTCACTGGTGATGTTCCTGAGATGGGGGTTACATTTTATGTGAATTTGAGGCAGTGTTGTGTTAGAATATTAATGAAGTATCATTCTAAATACAAAACTGGAAATAATACAAATCTTCCTGCCCGCTATCTCCTGCTCCGCACACACACACTGAGCAGTGGCAGGAAATTCAGTTGTCCTGTAGCACTTTCATAGTGGGCAGGTTGGGTCTGTGGGTCCCATTGCACTGTTGCCACACGGTGGCGCCACACTGGCAGTAAGCAGAAGTGTCCGTGTTGGTCTTGAATTATAAATTTTGAGTTATGCAAGGTCTTCAGGAACACATCCCTCACATACACCTTCTTGTGCCTTGGGGTTATGTTGTTAAAAGTCTTCATTAATTCACTTGAACTGTTTAAAAATATGCCACTTTGTGACATTATTTCTCCATGATTTATGATATCAGGAGCCCTCCCAATATGAAAGTGGCCTGGTGCCTCTCGCCTCTGAGTCGACCCAGAACCCCTTCTTGATGGAGCCTTCTCTGTGAACCCCCTCCCTATGGGACAGTCACCATCTCCTGCCTCCACCCATCCCCATGAACTTCCCCACATACAGTCATGAATCAAATACTCCCAGCACCCAGCGTAGCAAGGTCTTATGCTGGGAACTGGACGTTGGAGATGAACCAGACAGGGCTTCCCAGCACCTAGGAGCCATGGATGCCCAGGGGAAGCATCAAACAGGAGTCAGGGGAGGTCTCCTGGAGGACGCGATGCCTGAACTGAGTCTTGACATTCTTTGGGTTGAGAGTATGGATGTGAACACAAAATTATCAATTACCCACCTAGGCGCTTGTCTCGTTTGCTAGACCACGATCTCCTTGAAGTAGGTAAACACATGGAATTTATCTGTTTTCCTGCCTTTCTGCTTAACATTGGAAATGGCCAAGTGAGTTAAGTATGGTAAAGGGCTTAGAACCATGCCTTATGTGTAGTAAAGATTATGTAAGTGCCAGCTGTTATTCTTGTTGTCACTGCTGCTATTGCTTTTATAATTAGCCAGAATCAATGTATATGGAATAACTCAGGAAATGAAAGAGTGAGGGATGTGGTGGAAAGAGCCTCAGACCAGAGATCAAAAGCTTGGACTTGAGTCCAGGCTTTGCCCCTAGTTAGCTGAGATCCTCAGTTCAACTTCTATAAAGTGGGGATAATTAAACCATTCAGGCCCAGGTGTTATAATGGTTAGAGGAAATTACAAAGCACACGTATGAAGCAACAGGCATATAGTAGATGCTCAGTGTGAATTCTGTTTACCTTTCTTGTCTTATGGTGCTGAGACACTTAGCACAGGACTGTGTGCATGTATGTACTCAATAAATATCTGTTAATGAATTGATAAGTAATATTCCCATTATTTAAAGAATATTAGTCATGGGACATGTTCACTGTCTCAGACAAACTCTTAGCCAGGAATGGGAAATATATGCTGTATGAACCTCTGCTCCCCACTCACTCACCCAAGGCAGACATTACTAATCAATGATGGCACTCTGTGTTAGTCAGGACTCTTTTTGTTGGAAATGACCAACCAGCTTGAGCAAAAGGGGGTTTGTTATATAGATAATGGAGTAACTCAGAAAACCAAAGAAGAAGCTGCAGGCAGCAGCGCAGCCCCTGGGCCCTCCTGGGAACCTCATGGACCCCTCTCTCCCCTCTTCATTTCTCCTCTAGGTATCTGTATGTTTGCAAGCATTCTTTCAGGCAGGGCTCCTGGGGACGGCAGCTGGCAGCTCTGAAGCTACCTCCTTCCCAGTTCATGATTCAGAGGTAAGATGGACAGCACACTTCCCTTCCCCATCCTGAAAACTTCAGGGGAGGCTTCTGATTGGCCTGCTGGGGTCATATATTCAGTGGAAGGGGGGCTCTTTGTTACTAGGACTGGCAGCCCAGAGAACCACATGAAGTCAGAGAGGAGCCATTTTCCAGAATAAAGGAGAAAGAGAAGCTGGAAAGACACCAGTGATGAAGGTTCACTCCTGACCACAGAGCTGGGATAGTGCCTCAGAATCCTCAACACAGTGCCCAATCAGAATCAGCACTCAAGACAAAATCTACTTGAGATTTAGACCAAGCCTACATACAGGGAGGTTCATGGCATTGTATGAACCTGCAGAGGATTCTATTGGAAACTAGCTGAGCCTGGGTTTGAATCTGAGCTGTCAGGTCAGCAGGCAAGTCGCTGCACCTCTCCAAGCCTCAGTTTCCTCATCTGGTACAATGGGCTGAATGCTTGTGTTCCTCCACAAATTCATATGCTGAAATCCTAATCCCCAATGTGATGGCATTAGGAGGTGGGGCCCTTGGGAGGTGATTAGGTCATTAGGATAGAATCCTCACGGATGGGATTAGTGCCTTATAAAAAGACATAACAGAGCTTACCTTTTTTCTTTGTTCTATGCCATGTGAGGACACAATAATAAGATGCCCATCTGCAAACCAGGAAGGAGGACCTCTCCAGACACTGAATCTGCTGCTGCCTTGATCTTGGACTTCCCAGCCTCCAGAACTGCAAAACATAAATGTGTGTTGTTTAAGCCAGCCAGTCTATGATAGTTTGTTACATCAGCTTGAGCTGGCTAAGACCTCTGGTAAGTGAGTATAATAATGCCAAACTCAGAGGTTCTGTAAGGGTAGATGAGACACTCTGTGTAAACTTCAGCACAATCCCTGGAAGATAGTCAACATTCAATAAATGTTACCTCTTTTCTGAGTGTGGGTTCCCTTAGAAGCAGACTCTGAGACTAAGATTTCAATGCAACTGGTTTAGTCGGTAGGTAATCCAGAAGCCAAGAAAAACACACAGGGAAGTGAGAGAGAGCAATGATGGTACTAATGAGCAAGTTACCACTGTGGGCAACTGAGGCTCAGTCCTGCTGGAGACCTTTGAGTGGTGGTTCCGCAACCCCCATCCCACGAGGGGTGAGGGAGCTGGGGTATTTATGCACCAGCTGCCATTGATCACTAGTTGAGGGCTGCTCCTGGGCATTCACTCCCAGGCATTTCCAGCCTGCCCTTTGCTTGGGCTGAGCTTACTCCTGCAGGCAGAGAACCGCTGCAGGTAGAGTCACAGACTTCTTATTGTTTGCAATAAGAAGTCGCCAGCAGGAGGGCACTGACAGTGGCAGCATCACTTCAGATATTATCAAGGGAATCCATAAGCCTTACAGCACAGCACACACAGAGGGATGATCTTACCAAAGTGTTTCTTCTAGGGGAGCTGGAGTTAAATGGCATGGTCCTTCTTCAGTCCACAGATCCTGGTACCCTGTTTGTCCTCTGAGTTCCTGACCTCAGTTTTTATCTGCCACATGCAAGTTTTTTTCCTGGTACCAGAGTATGCCATTCTTCACCTCTGATCTAGGCAGAGCTCTAGCTCCCTGGAGAGCAGGAGCTTTCTTCACTGGGCAAGCTGGAGGCTGACTATTTCCCCAATACTGAGGCAAACCCAGAAGAGTGCTGACTTCTGGAGCGTCCATGCTGAGCTCTTGGAGGCCAAGTGCTAGGCATTCAACCAATGCATAAACAGGGCATTTGTACAACAAATAAGGTCAGTCATAGATCCCACACACTCCTTATATTCTTACCCAGCCATTCATTTCTGGGCTGCCTTCTTCTAACCAACCTTCATCCACATGAACTAGGTGCTGCCTGGCTTCTTCCAGATCCTCCCAGGACATCTAGGTTTTTTCTTTAATATAGTATGTATTTAGAGACACTTCATATAAAATAAAAGTCATGACTTTAAAGTGTAAACTTCAGTGGTTTTTCGTACATTCACTATGTTGTGCAGCCATTACCACTATCTAATTCCAGAACATTTCCATCCTCCCCAAAGAAATCCCATATCCTTCAGCAGTTAGTCCCAATTCTCCTCTCCCATTCCCTGCAAATCACCAATCTACTTTGTGTCTCTATGAATTTGTCTGTTCTGGATATTTTATATATGGAATCATATACCAAGTGGCCTTTTGTAACTGGCTTCTGTCACTTAGTGCAGTGTTTTCAAGGTTTATCCATTTTGTAGCATGACTGGCAAGGACTTCATTCATTTTTAACAATGAACAATATTGCATTGTATGAATACACCACACTTTCTTCATCCATTCACTCATCGATGGACACTTGGGTTGTTTCCACTCTTTGGCTATTGTGAATAATGCTCTATGAATATTCATCCACTGTACAAGATTTTGTGCAAATATGTTTTCAGTTTGCTGTGGTTTAAATGTGTCCCCAAAGGGTCATGTCTTGGAAACTTAATTTCCAATGCAACAGTGTTGGGAGATGGAACGTAATGGGAGGTGTTTAGGTTCTGAGGGCCCTGCCCTCATGAATGGATTAATATTGTTACTGTGGGAGTGGGTTAGTTTTTGCAGGAGTAGATTTGTTATAAAAGCGAGTTCAGCCCACTCTTGCCCTGTCTTGCTTTCTCTTGCCCATGTGTTGCCTTCCACTATGTTATGATGCAACAAGAAGGCCCTCACCAGATACAGGTGCCCAGTCTTGGACTTTCCAGCCTTCAGAACTGTGGGCCAAGTAAGTTTCTGTTCATTATAAATTACCCAGTCTGTGCTATTGTTATAGCAGCACAAAATGGACTAAGACACAGATCTCTAGACTATCTAGGTTGGAGTGGAATTGCTGGCTCATATAGTTATTCTATGTTTAACTGTTTGAAGAACTGCCACACTGTTTTCCAAAGTAACTCCACCATTTTACATTCCCACCAGCAATGTATGAGAGTTTCAATTTCTTCACATTATTGCCAATATTTATTCTCTGTTTTTGAGGTTTTTTCCATTCTAGCCATCCTAGTGGGTATGAAGTGATATCTCATTGTGGTTTTGATTTGCATTTCTCTGATGGTTAATGATGTTGAGTATCTTTTCACAGAGCATCTAGTTTTGATCACCACCCAATATGAAGGGAAACTCTTAGTCTTGGGCTTCAGTTTTTAGCATCTGTCAGACTCAAGCTTTGCCACTCCTTGGCCATAAGCAGTTCCCTTAATCTGCTCTCAAACCGAGCCCCGCCCTCAACTTCCTGGGAGCTTTGACCTTCTGGCCAAATCAATGCCTTCTCTTAGTCAGGATTCTTTTAGCTGAAAGTGTTAGAAACCCAACTCACACTGGTTTGAACACAAAAGGAGATTTATTGCCTTGAGCACCTAATAAATCCCAGGATAATAATAGCTTCAGGCATGCCTGGATGTAGGTACCCAATGGATGTCATCAGCAGCTTTCTCTTGCTCCCAGTCTGAGCTCTACTTTCTTTTAGGTCAGCTTTATTCTGTGATGGGCTCTTTCCTCTTGTGGTAAGAAGACTTTTGGAAGCCCCAGTCTCACCTCTTTGCAGTTAGCAACATCAGTGGAAAGAAGCCTTCTCTTGCTCAAAAGCTCCAGCTAAGGTCCCAGGATTGTCTCTAACTGGACTAACTTGAGTCATGTGCCCATCTTAAACTAATGACAGTGGTTATGGCAACGGAATTTGCTGAGTGGCTAGGCCTGGGTCAAATCTGCAACCTTAGAGCTAAATGTGGGGTCAACTCCTCCTAAACCATGTAATCTGAGAGTGAGAAAGTTATGGCTTCCCACAATAAATTGGGGTGCTACTGCCAGAAGGGAGAATGGATACTGAACAGACAGAAACTTCAGGTCTCCACTGGCCCTTTAGACCTGGCATCAAGGGCCTTGTCCCTATTTCTGTGTCCCAGCAAGATACTCACTGTCTTGTCTCATTCCATGACAATGCAATAGATTAATGTCTGGGAACCTGTCTCAGATGAAGACGGTCAGAGAGAGTGAAAAGTTGGTCCTTTCAAGAGACCAGGGGAAGAATAAGCAGAAGCCATTACAAAACTCACACTTTTGCTTCTTGGTTTAGTTCATTTGGGCTGTGATAACAGAATACCTTAGATTGGGTGGCTTATAAGCAATAGAAATGTATTTCTCACAGTTTTGAAGGTTGGAAAGTCTAAGGTCAAGATGCCAGCAGAATTGGTGTTTGGTGAGGGCCCGCTTTCTGGTTCATAGATGGCACCTTCTAGCTATCGTCACATGGTAGAAGAGGTGAGGGAGTTCTCTGGGGCCTCTTTCATAAGGAACCCACCTTCTGACACCATCATGTTGGAATTTAGGATTTCAACATGTGAATTTCAGGGGGACACAAACTTTCCATCTATAACATTTGTCCAGAATTGATTGTGAGAAATAAACAGGCTTCTTTGTTGATTTGTTTACACAAAGAGAAACCCATTTTTTTAATGATAAAATATTTCTCACACTAATGATCCTCCCTAGAGCTTATAAGAGTTGGAGTTTGATTTGGGGTGTTTTTGTTTGTTTCCTCTAAATTACCAGGAGGACTTTTTTTTTCTTCCAGCGGCAGGAAGCAGCATTCCACCTGAAGAAAAATTGTCATCATCATGCCTCTCTGTTCCTCAGCAGCCAATGGCTGACTCACTCCCTTGGCCCTGGGAGGCTTGGTTGCTCGGCTCTGATTGTGAAGTGTGTGCAGATAGTGTGTTCACATCCAAAATCATGCATGCACACACAACTCCGAAACACAATCTCACGTGTTCTCTGTGCCAACCATGCAAACGCACCATGCCTGAAGGGGGGTGTGTCCTCCCCACACAGTGGGGTGCCGACAGAAGCCATTCTGCAAAGGCTTGTTAATTCTTAGACAGTCGGGTGTGAATATCGTGCTGACATTTATAGCGTGTCTTCGCCACACTCTGTCTCGCCCACGCTGAACCACGCACCTGCAGGAGGGAATGCTGGTATCAACGCAGCAGATGTTGTGTGCCCTGGGAATGCTTAAATATGTACTCTCTACAGAAGGCGTGTGTTACCCAAACACAGACCTGAGAGAGGGGGACTAGGAGGGAAGAGAAAAGGGGAGATATGGTCTGGCTTCCCCGAGCCTATCTCTGGGTGCCCTGGATGCCTGATAAATTCCAGCCTTGGGTGAAAACAAAAGGCTTTATCTTTCAAAACAAGTTTAGGAAGATGTTAGACTTTATTATATAGAAAAATATAACAAAACAAAACATGGGCTGTGGAGTCAGAGAAACGTGGTTTTAAGTCCCAATTCTACAATTTAACAAACTACATGACCTTGGGTCAATCACTTAGCCTCTCTGAGCCTTCTCACCAGTAAAATGGAGCTCACAGAGGCATCTATTTCTCAGGGTTGTGGTCAAGGAAAGTTAGGTTAGTGATTCATATGCTGGAACATAAAGAAATAAATACTCCTTTATTTGAACTTCTAAGTCATGGGTGGCATGCCAGGGTGACCTTGCCCTGATATTAG